CTACATGGCAATGAGAAAGAATGAAAGAATGTATTGTTTCTTAAATTTCACATATGAGTGAAATCATATGGTATTTGTCTTTCTCTGATTTATTTCACTTGGCATAATATTCACTAGCTCCATCCACATCATTGCAAATGGTAAGATTTATTAATTTTTGTGGCTGAGTAATATTCCATGGATATATATACCACCTCTTCTTTATCCATTCATCAATTGGTGGACATTGGGCTCTTTTCATAATTTGACTATTGTTTATAATACTGCTGTAAACGTCAGAGTTTACGTGTCCCTTCGAAAGAGTATTTTTGTATCCTTTAGGTAAATAAAGTAGTAGTGCAATTGCTGGATCAATTGCTGGATCATAGGGTAGTTCTATTTTTAACTTTTTGAAGAAACTTCATACTGTTTTCCAGAATCACTGCACCAGTTTGCATTCCCACCGACAGTGTAAGATGGTTCTCCTTTCTCTGCATCCTCATCAATGCCTGTAGTTTCTTTGTACCATTAATTTTAGCCATTCTGGCAGGTATAAGGTAGTATCTCATCATAGTTTTGATTTGTATCTCCCTGATGATGAGTGATGTTAAACATCTTTTCATGTGTCTGTTGGCCATCTGTATGTCTTTTGAATTTTTTAAAAATATTTATTTATTTATTGAAAGACAGAGAGAGACAAAGCATGAGTGGGAGAGGAGCAGAGAGAGAGAGAGAGAGAGGGAGTCACAGAATACAAAGCAGGCTCCAGGCTCTGAGCTGTCAGCACAGAGCCTGATGCAGGGCTCAAATGCATGAACCATTAGACCTGAACCAAAGTCAGATGCTTAACTGGTTGAGCCACGCAGGTGTCCCACATTTTTTTGAAAAATGTATATTCATATCTTCTGACCATTTTTTAAACTAGATTATTTGGGTTTTTTGGGGGGAGGTCTTGAGGGTTTGGTTTTTTAATTTTTAAAGTTTATTTATTTATTTTTGAGAGAAAGACAGAGAGAGGGAGTGGGGAAGAGACAAAGAGAAAGGGAGAGAGAGAGAATCCCAAGCAGGCTCTGCACTGTCTGTGAAGAGTCCGATGCAGGGCTTGAACTCACAACCTGCAAGTTCATGAATTGAGCTGAAACAATATGCTTAACATAAGAATCGATGCTTAACTGACTGAGCTACTCAGGTACCCCTGCATATTGAAGTTTTTAAGTTCTTTAAAATTTTTAAACTAATCCTTTATCAGATATGCCGTATGTCATCTTCTTTCATTCTGCAGGTTACCTTTTAGATTTTTTCATTGTTTCCATCTGGTATGAAAATCTCAGAAGTTTCTTCTTGACAGCTAACCTAGTAAGCACATTTGCCCCGGCTTTAATATTATTTTATTGGTGGATTTACCATTCTGGGTTCATCAAAGTCAAGTATCCCAAAGAAAGAAGGAATAGAATATGGATTTGTATAAGAAATACCAAAAATGGCTTACCATTTCTTAATTTTAGTAAAGTTAAATTCTTTAAAATTTAATATTTTAAAAAGATTAAGTCTTTGGAAGTTAGTACCACTGGATAAACAGACTGAGAAGTGATGGAAAGGAGGTAATTGAAACAAGCAATAAATCATGTTTATGCAAATTTGACAGAGAATTGCAATAAAACTTGATGTTACTTAAGGTCAACTATGGAGGCCAAGGTTCTTATGTCAATTGCTGCATTAAAATTTGGAGAGTGTCTGTTTCTGGGTGAATGTTACAAGCTAATATTTTACAATGCTTACTTACCAAGAAGGTCTTTTCAACTTCTGGGTTGCACAAATCTATTGACCTGAATGAAAGCTCCCTCTCTTGACATATGTTCACTCTAGTAAAAGGATGTTGTGAGTTATGTTATCTGCTCTGTCAGACAATCTTTGTGCTCTGGTGTTGTCTTTATTTCTTTTTCTGAATACATACATGTTTTAAATAATTTTCTAATAGAATTTAACTGAAGCTTAGTTCTCTTGTAAGATTTTAACATTTGAAATTATACCTATAACTTCAATCACAGTAACTTCTACAGTAGAAATGCAGGCTGAAATTTGTGTATTTACATTAAAGTACCATCATCCCTTGATATTGGTAACATATATGAAATATAAAAATAGCAAACAGCCTATTCTTTCCTCTCTTATTATAAATACCTCGTTAAGGAAACTATCCATTGAATGTGTCACTTCAAGATAGCATTGTCCAATAGGATCATCTCTCCTAGATGTCAAAAAAGAGGAAATGAACATATGTATTTACCTGCCAACATCTATAATACCTATAAAATTGTAGCCATTTATTATAGTTGTGTGTGGCCCTTCATCTTTGAAATTGGTATTAGTTACTATTTGTAGAGACTGGTCTTCTGCTTATCTTCAAAGTAGTCCATTGTATAATAGTAGTAATAATAATAGCTAATATTTTTCTAACACTTACTATATGCTTAATAACATTCTGATTACTTATATTCATATGGATGAAAGTTTTTGACACATTCTTATGTCATCCTTTGCGATCAGTGAGACACGTTAGAAATAGTCAGTCAAATTATAGCATCCAGCGGTGAAGCATGGAAAACATTATACATAATTCATTGGTTATTCTGCCTTCTAATATTCCTACCCATGACATAGAACTAATTAGCATTATCATTTGATTTTAACCACTGGTACTAACTGGTCTATAAATCATTAAGAGTCTCAGACTTAAATATATACATTCATACACATATCATAAAATGTATATGCACATTAGGATCTCAATATGTCAGCGTGTTTTATACTCTATGAAAGCAGCTTTTGAGATAGAATTTTAATATCTGAAACAAACCAAAAGGTATCTATTATTTATACCTATCTAGCTGTACAACCAATGATTTGAAAATCAGTGGCAAATGATCAACTTCATATACAAATCAGAAACCTACTTAAGTAGTACAATTCTGACTTTTCCACTTCACTTGCCTTGCACCCCAGTACTTTGTTAAATTTTATGGGCTTATTTGCCCTACAAGTCTAGATTCAGTATTTGCAGTCACATTTCATGATAATGCCCTTTCAGTAAGCCTCACATTTTCCACCCGCCAACCAAAAAGTTGAACTGCAGAGCACTTGCTTCTTGATTACAACCAGGGGAAAATACTAACTAAAATGAGAAAATGTTTACACATGAGCAAGTTTGAAGCCAAATGGACAATGATTCCCTGGATGTTACACCAAGTTCATATTTACACACATTTTCAGTACAAATAAATATATTGTTTCTTGTTTAAAACAAGTAATATAAAACTGAAACTAAGCCAGAAAATCTGAATGTTCGAAAGTATAACTGCACAATTTATTTTTAAATATAAACGGTCACTGTGAGAAGCTCCAATATCAGCCCTCCTTCAACACTTCCACTATCTTTAAACCTAGACCAAGTCATCTCTTTAGATGACTATAGAGAGCCTCAATGTCAAGACCAATATTATGCAAAACGTAAATATGTGAAGGAATTTGTATTGTTTATCACCTTTGGCAGAAATAGAGAGTCCTCAAGGGTTCTTGCTTTAGGACTGGTTTTGATATTCCATCTCATCTTTTATTACTGTTGAGAAAATAGTCATAATTATTTCTCTTAATTTTACCTTCTTTACCTACTTTTTTCTTTTCCTGAGATAAGAATGCAAATAAATAATGAAATAGCCAAAGATAAATAACAATAAAAGGAGGATAAAACAATGCTTTCCTAATGTGAAAAATTTTATATTCTATTGAATTATATTGAATTATTCCTTATTATATTGCAATTCTATTGGTCTTCATGACAAAAAGGAACCATCCATCGAATACTAAAAAGTAAAGAATGTTGCTGACAGAAAAGTGTTGGATGTGTTTAAATCTCTGTCCTATCTATTAGTGGTCAGAAGAACACATTGAAATAAATTTGGTAGCAGGATATTTAAAATTTATGTTGGTATTGGGATCAATATGATCTTAGGTCTAACACTTGCCTCAAGCTTTTATCTTACTACATAAAAAGCAATAAATATAGGAAATGCTTTCGTCACTATCAGACCCTTAACAGATTTCCTTAGTGGACATCCTAGATTTTGAAACTTGTATTTTACTTTCACCCATATTAGACTTTTTACTCACTCCTACTTGGAAAATTTCAAATAAAATGTTTGGTTTGAAGGGACAGTAGGCCATCTTTGAAACTGCGATTACTGGCTTACTTATGTACAGTCATATTATTGCAATGTTTTAACAGCAAATAAGGGAATCATAATTGTTCAATAGATAAAATCGTTTTACTGGATATTCCACTGTTATGTGTGGTAGCGATGAAAGGTAAGTGTTTAGTCTAACAAGAACACCACATTTCATTTACTATACATCGTACTTTCCCTATCAGTAAAATTCATTCAATTATGCAAATATTTACTGAGCCCTTATGATGTGCTACAAGCACTTCTAGGCTCTAAAATTACAATGCATTTGAAATATCTTATTTGTAAAGACCTGTTTTCATTAGAAAGCCCTAGTTAACGGTGACTCTTCTTCAGCTATTAGTCTCAAAACATGTTCTTTTAGTCACCTGGAGATTTCACCACTTATAGAAAATTACATCATGTATTAGATATAGAAATAGTTTCCCACTTTCAAAAGTCAGAAAAAACTCTATTATTTGCTTCTCCTATTTCATGCAACAAGGACAATATGGTTCAGAATGATGTTGGTAATAATTACATGGAACTGCTCCTAAAACTTCTGCATCTTTATGTTTGTTCTAACAGCAGTCTAGAGACTCTTTGGGAAATGAAGTAAAGGGTAATACCCAGAAAGTCCATTTACAAATGAAGTGGTAGTTACTTACCCTAGATTCAGGTTTAAGTCAGAAAGTCAGAGGCTTTGTTAAAGCTCTAAAAAAATTAATGATTTCTTTTTCAGCATGTTTTTCAGATTATTGATCTCAAGGTCCTGTAATAATTTTTACAATTTCTTTTTAGCCTTGTGCCAGCAACAATTGCTACTCCTCAGTAGCCTTGGGAAGAGATGAAGAGGTTAGAAAGGAGGCATGTGGATGTTGTAAGTAACTTGCGAGAACACTAATGATTTCATAGTGTATGTGTGTATGCATTCACTGATCAACTAATAAGAAACTAAAGAATTTATGATAAATCATATTAAACAGCTATAAGAATAAATTTAGAGAGCTGTTTGATTTTTTACATGAGACTTTTTTGAATTATTTTTTTAAATCATTATTAATATTTGAGCCTTTCTGCCTTTCTGGTTTAGTCTTCCAAGGTAAAATGATACAAGATATTGGTATTAATATTAAGTATTACCTTTAGGGACAACTCTTTGATAGTCTTTGTATCTATACGCCCCTAGAAGTTTCTTTCATTGTGTTCAAATTCATGGCTGGAGATCTACTAAGAATAAAGAGCATATTCAGAACTGTGGGTAATCAACAGAAACTTTAAGTCAAAAACTAATACTAGTGTGTGGGATTGCACTTACAGTGAAACAGCTTTTTATATTAAGGCATTTCACCAACTCACTTGTCTTCCTTAAGTTTGCTAATATTCATTCTGTCAAAATTCAGTTACCTAGTTTTTGGAATATGGTTCAGAAATATGTGGTATTTGTACTAAAGAAAGGGCATTGGATACTTATGGAGAGCTTGGGGAAAAGGCTGTAAAGAGAAGCTTGGGTTCTCACTTTCTGGAATCACCAATGTTACCTCCTTTTGGCCTCCCTAATCTAATGCCCCCTGCATTTTATTTTGCTTTTTTTTTTAAATGTTTATTTATTTTTGAGAGAGAGAACAGAGAGTGAGCAGGGAAAGGTCAGAGAGAGGGAAACACAGAATCCAAAGCAGCCTCCAGACTCTAAGCTGTCAGCACAGAGCCTGACATGGGGCTTGAACCCACGAGCCATGAAATCATGACCTGAGCTGAAGTCGGATGCTTAACCAACTGAGCCACCCAGGCACCCTAGCTCCCTACATTTTAAAATAGATTTCTTGAATGACATTGTCCAGTGGCCTCCAAACTCCAAGTTAGACCGATGCATGGGTTGGGTTGGCTTCTTGACCACTCCCATTCCAAGCTTTGGTTCTACAGACTTCCACAGTCTTTCTTTTGTCCTAGGTTGTAGATAGGGCAATAACTAGATTCTAGTGAAAGGTATAAAGATGGCTTGGTGATCTGTGAGTTAACATGGTTACCTAGAGTCTACTCAACAGTACCACGGATGTTACCCGTGTCATCCAGAGTCAGGAGTTCTGGCAGATCCTCAGACTCCAGCCCAGATCCTCTACAATGAGAGGCCTGAAGAAATAATTTACTATGGTCCAAGCCTTCTAAAACTACACGTTTAGTATCACTACTACCTCTAGCTGTTAGTGCCATTTGTCCTCTACTGTCAGTTCTGTTATCTGCAGCTTGGAGGCATGGCTTTTGTGAACTGACAAAGGAAAACTCAAAAGTTATGTAGAACTATTGATTTTTCTTTTCTTGTCCTAGAAAAAATTGTTTTTCCTGGAAATTCGGCTATATGATACCGCAGGGATGAAGGTAAGAAAGAATCTATCCAAACAAAAATATGACTTTTCATTTCTGTCCTGAGCACTTTCACTTACTTCATGTGTAAAAATCATTTAATTCAACAAATATTTATCAAACCCCTACTATGTGGCAGTCACTGTTCTAAGTAGTAGATGTTGTCAGTGAACAAGGCTACTTATAGTCATCAAGCTTATGGTGACTTCACAGGGTGGTTCTAAAAATTTAGACATGCAATGTATTTGGCATAGTGCCTGACATATAAAAACTATGTAAGATGCAGATTATGTTTAATAGAAAATAGGACAAATGGCAGTGTTCCAGGTAGAGCTTAATTTAATCATCATTTGTCATGGCTATGATGAATATTATAAAAATGAAAGATTTAGATTGATACTTTCTAAGTCAAAACATGACAAAATATATCCTTAGAGTCAGTTGTAAAATGACATTAATCTATCAGTTGATATTCTGATTTTCACAGCAATATTCTAGTGCGAGTATTAACCTAATCCTAGCATAATTTACAAAATTTAAATATTAGTTCTGTTACAGCTGCCTTTTTCCATTTTTGAATAATGCTGAGATCTCATCCCGAGGGTAAGTTCTCTTTCCTAAGAAAAGACACACATTTGATGAAAAGGATTCTGTGAAATATTTAAGATGCTTAAAAAGAAATTTGCAATATGATTTTCCATTATTAAAATATGCCTCAGTCTTTCAAGTAATGCTTCCATTTTTTGCTATGAATGAGACTCAGTTGAAAATCAGGTATTCAGTTGCCTTCTGATCTTTAGAAATTGAAGGTATCTGACAACTTGCCAAATTATAGAGGAATTATAGAGTTCCCTTTTTAAAAGTTTGATACTTTTAATAATAATCATCTTACTTTGTGTTAAAATCTTCCATAGTGTAATAAAAATATTACCCCTTATATTGTAAGGAAGACCTATTGAAACTGCAACGACAAGAAAATGAACCATAGTTAGGAGAATCATGAGATTAACAGCACTTCCAAACAAGAAGAAACAAAGAAGCCTAATGGAACTTAATTTTTCCCCGATGATTAGAATAGTACCGCCATAATGCAGTTATAAGACATGCAATACATACATGATAAGAGACAAACCGCATTAAATTTTAAAGTCTCTTATAATCTTAATAATCAAGGAAAGGAGTTCTTTATTATATATATAATCACATATATATTCATAAATATTTATGAAATAAGCACTGGTACTGTTTGGCGATCGTGGGAAATTTCCTCAGTGTTCTTCTTTTGAATGGATAATCCTATCCATTGCAACCTAATACAGAACATTCACCATAAGAATGAAAGGGGCGCCTGGGTGGCTTAGTTGGTTAAGCGTCCGACTTTTGCTTAGGTCATGATCTATCGGTTCATGGGTTCGAGCCCCGCGTCGGGCTCTGTGCTGACTGCTAGCTCAGAGCCTGGAGTCAATTTCAGAGTCTGTGTCTCCCTCTCTCTCTGATCCTCCCCTGCTCACGCTGTCTCTCTCTCTCGCTCCTAGAAATATATATATTATATAATTATATATATATATAAGAAAAAGAATGAAGGCCTTCTAATCATATGTGGTGTTCCTTTTGAGTTCCAAGTGATACTTTTCTCAAAGACGTCTTTATCTTTCTCTACATGAGTTTAGATTTGTTTTTAAAATGTCTCAACTCATTACAAATAATCCAGGATGACTCAGGATTTGTGGTAAGGGCAGTGTCTTGAATTTTGTTGCCCAAGTTTCTCGATATAGCCATGGTAGACACTTGGGTGTGGCAGAATCATTGCAAAACCTACGGAATTTTCCCATTCAATCCATGAACCCTGTCATCATTCATAATGCATAAATGTGATACATATTTACAACAAAACAGTTATGTTCTTTCTATTTATATCCAAACCCATTTTATGAAGACTATTTTGTAGTAAGTTGCAATGTCTCATTAACCTCATTCTGCAGATGGAGAAAAGGAGGAAGGAAGGAATTGTCTGTTTGCCTTTTTACTGTCTCCAGGTTGATATAATGGTTTGTGATTTGTCTCACAGAATCACTTCAGCAGTTTAAAATGGAGTGTAATCTCTCAGACTCTTGTGAGCAAGTGAACACAAGCTGTCGTTAATAAAACTTCCTTCAAGGTAATTTGGGTGATCCAGAAAACTTCTTTAAGGGAGCTAAAAAAAAGTGTCATTTGGAAAGAGACGGTATTATATCTGAGACTCTGAGATGTTTTCCATATGATGCGCCATTGGAGGACATGCTAATCATAATATGCATTGTTAGTTATCATTGATGTATTCTTTCCATTTTTTCATTTGGATTGTATGCTCTGTACAGCAAAAACCAGGTCTTATATTTCCCATCATATCATTCATAACATCTAGCAAGGTGACCTAGAGAAAGTAATAAAGTATTAGCAACTTTTGTTTTTCCTAAAACGCATCTCTTTGCCTGTCTTGACTTCTCACTGATTCAGGTAGCTTTGACAGATACGAGGGGCTGGGGGGTGGGGTAGGGTGAGGAGGGGTGATAATAGAAACATTGTCTCTGCTCAAATTCATTGTCTCAGCTGTTAGGGATGTGACTGAGGTATCTGGTAAAACCTTCTGACAAACTCAGACCTAAAGATGCTCTTAAGAAACACTTTCTATAATTCTGGAAATTTGCCTACCCTGCTCTGGTAAGTAGATCCAATGCCTAGGAGCAAGATTGGACTATTCTTAAACACTTCTAATAAATGAGTATGTAATAGACATACAGAAAACTTCTGTGTAATAAAGAATTTTAGATTAAGAATAATAAATTCAGTACTCCCATAAATTTTAATGAGGAAACTGAATTGACTGTTAGGCAATTTGATTATTAAAAAAAAATCAGTAGTAGGCAGCCATGGTTTATTGTAAAGGCCATCAGGATATGAAATGGAGGACCTGGATTCAAGTTCTAATACATTCCTTAACTAGATTATGACTTTGGAGAAGTTGCTTAAGTTCTCTGAAATGTAATTTCCTTATCTTCAAAGTACATATGACCAGAGGGGCTATGAGGAGAGAATGAGATAGTGCATGAGTAGATCTTTGAAGGTATATATGCAATATATTATAAGGTGGCCAAAACATAATTTAAGAAAAGGAAAATGTACATGTAGGTCCAGTAAATCACAGCCATGTTACCTTACTTTTTTTCTGTTGCTTATCAGGCATTGCACCCCTCTAAGAAATAATCCTCTTCTGGCTAATTCCTTTCATATTGGCAATTTTTCCGGTTCTTGAGTGAGACCCCAGAGAGCTATTCTGAATTGCCACTTGGGTTCATCCAGGCACCCCTCCATTAGTGTTGGATTCCAGTAGTCATGGAAAGTACTAGTTTTCCTGTTCAGTATGGCAGCTGGTAAGCAAATAGCACCTTCAACTATGTCAATAGCTCTTGGTTTGGGAGAATTACCAGATTAAAAAAATTCAGTAGCATCTCTGTATTGTTTTAACATCAAGTGACCAGTGAAAGTCCAGGAAGCCACTTACATCACATGAGACACCTCTGAGCAATCTTTTATAAATGTAGTTATAGCCTTGATATCTCAGCTGTTGCCAATCATAAAAGAGTAATTAGAACGTATTCCTTAGAGAAAAAAAATTCAGTAGGAAAACATTTCTTTTAAGTATGTGTAGAAAATAAGCTAGTGGAAAACTATGACAGAGGAGTAAAAAGTGTTATTCAAAGTATTAATTATATATATTAACTAGTACATACTCTAATTCTATTAAGTTTAGAAAGAAGATCAAGTTTAATTTTATTATCAAGTGTCCTTGGCTCTATTCATTTAATAGTAGAGGATGCATAATCTATCCAAGTAAAAAAAAAAGTTTAAAGCAATTTAAAATTGCTTTAACAAGGTCAGAAATTAAGTTTTCAGGTATTCTTTCCAGAGTAAGTGCAATGTCATGACTTTAATAACAGCTAAAACTAAATTTAGACTTTTGAGAAATAATTTTTTTTTCCTGAAGAAACACAGACCTTGAAAATACCTTGGGGGACATTACTAACCTCTTTGGAAATTAATGAATCCTTATAAGATTCCTAAAGGGTTGTGGGAGGTTTTCTAATTCTACATTGCAGGTGGCAAACCAAAGAGCTTGGCCAAGTTTATGTTTTTAGGGATGGACTGACCGGGACTCTTGTAATGCTCTTCCTTTTCAGTTTTTCCATCAATTGCCCCTATCTTTTTTTTTCCCCTAATACAGAGTGAGCAGATAACAAATATTTTTTCTTTGTTTTGGATTTTCATTTCAATCACTAAAACTCCTAAGCATCCTCTGGACTGTTCAGAGCTGAATGAAAATCTTAATTTCTAATATGCAATATTGTACTTTCTAATTATTTGATGCCCAACCTGTAGGACTATACATTCCGGCATGCATTCACATAACACATTGACATCAGTCTGAGCCACGTAACTGTTCAGACAGTGGAATACAAGTGGAAGTGGCATACACCATATATGTCCAAGCAGAAGCTTTGAGAACCATAGTGTGCTTCCTCCATTTTCCCTTTCTCTGCAATGACAAGGGCATGGCCAGATAGGAACTACTCCTTTTAGCTTGGGTCTCAGAATGAGAAGATAGGTAGATGGGGCTGCAGCTAATTCACAGATGACTCATAACATGAATAAGAAGTTAATCTTTATCATTGTAAGTCATTGAGATTTTATGGTTGTTTGTTAATGCAAATAACCTAGTAAATTTTGGTAACAGACAGCCCTCACCACATTGTGATAGATTTTTAAAAGGACTATTTTAGTTCTAACACATAGAAACAGGTATTCAGTTGGAAATTTTCATAAAGGCTTGATATTTGTCTTTGGTTCATTGTCACTGGATTTTCATCATCTTAATTACAGTTTGGTCCAGGTACTTGGATGAAAGAAATATGTGTCTCTTAGAAAGGAGACAAAGGTTATGCTTCAGCATAGTACTCAGCTATACAAAAGTAGATAAAGTT